ATAGCTGTCCAGAGTTATACAGAGTTAATAGCTACCAATCAGCCAATCAGAAAATAGCATTTGTTGTTTCCGGGTAAATTCCAAAACAAGTTACATGTGATCTCGCTGCAAGCACATTATTACATGGATGCACGCACACATGGAGTGCAGACAAGGTGGAACTGGAAGAGCAAGATCCGATGAATGCGGTAGGCTGGGCTCTCAAGTCTCATTCATTGACCATGAGATACACGCTCCACCCCTAACAGACGTAATCTCACTCCAAACTTTTGATGAAACTTAAGAGCCCTGGTCCAAGCACTGTTTGAGATCCACGATCTTGAAACATAATCTGCTCTGAGCAGGTTTTGGCATGTAGCATGAGTTACCATGGTGATGTGTCCTGCTAAGAAGAGAACCAATGTTCTGTTATCGAAAAGTCATAGTTACCACTACTTATCCTCAAAGTTGTCTGGCTAAGAAAGGAATCCGGCTACATGACAGTTGTCACACTGGAAGTTACAACACAATGTAAACAAAGATGGCCTCTCCCTTCCTGCCATGGAAAATAAGGTGAATACATTTACTCGCAAAACATGCTAGTGTGACTACCTTGTTCTCCATTGCTTCCAGTGTGATTGTGTAAACTAATTGTTACCTTTACTGCAACTTATTCAAGATGGTGATTATTTTACAGGAACTTCATTTTTGTCTAAGACTGGACAATTCTTCTCAAAGTCAAACTGGAATAACTTTTCAGGTCAGCTTTTCCGTAATTCTCAACTTTGAAATCTACTGTCCATAATTATTAACCGTCAATCAAACCCTGTACACTATGACTGACTCAAGATGTCAAATATTTTACAGAATCTGCAAAGTCTTCTATCTCACGCTTGAACCCAAACCATAATAGGCTGAATAACTCCTCTTTAGGTAAGCTGTTCAGTGCTTCTAAGGTTTAAGATATACTCTCTGAAATTATTCACTTTCTGTCAAAACTCAACCACAACATAATGTTCCTATCTTTTCCATCTAAATTATAGATTGAGCCATAATGTTAGAATTGTGATAGTCTGAGATGGTTAACATTCTACCACATAGATGGCACACAAAAGAAATCTCATACAGTTTTCATTTAGGCTTCCTGTTCACAACAATTATAACTCATATTTAAATTCCATCTCTCTTCCATAGTTAAAGTCCACATGCTGGTTGCTGGAGAAACTTTTCAGACCCATGAAACCTTCATGCAAAAGCTGAAGCTGCAGATAGAGCTCTGCAGTGCAGAGAGCAGCAACGTCATCCTGCTCTTCTGTCCTGTTGTTTCTCAGATTGGGACAGACATGGATGGAGCAATGGCCGGAGTTACAGGTGAGACAGGATTCAGTCACTGTTACACATCATCTTTGCCCTGAAATCCAAAATAGTCATAACACACAGATATTATGTGGTTCCTCTCTTCACAGAGGATGTTGTGATTTATTTAACAGAAGCTGTACTTTTACAAGTTGTCCTGTGAAAGTTAACTCAGATCAACAATTCATCCACATCTGCCAAATTTTTCCAATTAGCCTAATAGTCTCTCAAAGCTGCCACATGTAGAGATTTTTGGTTTCTCACAGATAATTTTGTTTTGACTTCCAGGTTAATTTGGTAAGTTAAGAAAATTTAACAAGTGAAAACTGTTTTTTTTTTTTTTTAATAATAAGACCCAATGTTATGTTCGAGTCAAACTTAGACTTTTTAAGGTTTTTGATTAAATCCAAAATGGCGGGCACATAAATTTGGTCTACGTGATCAATTAAGATATCACCAGACATAATATCCACTTTTATAAGGTCAACACATCAAAAGATATTACATATTTTTGCTTATTGCAGCGCCCCCAGTGGTCAAATGACACAAACATTTCGCACATTCTCAGGCTGTGGTCTTGAGTCCACAGTTTGGTGTGAAGACATCAAAGCTTTGCTGAGAGATACCCTCACTTTCTTAATGGTGGCTTTGCTGCCAATTTCGTTTGGCGGTGACGGATGAACAGTTTCAAAAGTCAAATACTAAGCTGATAACTTTTGTGAGGCTTGGTCCAAAAATCATCTGTGCTAAATTTGTTGATGATTGGACAAAATGTAAAACCATCTGTGGATGATACCAACCAAATTTTGTTTCGATATGACCAACACCCTTGAACTAAAGGTAGGTCTTTTGAAAAATTCGATATGAGGGAAAATCCAATATACCAGACTTTAACACCACTGTGCATTCAAACTGAGATGACCCAAGGATAAAGGGGAAAAAAGATTATAACCCAAGGACAAATGGTTCAAAAGTCATCATCAGAAATGTACCTTAACATTTGGCCTGTTGGTGGCACTGCAGAGATGCATTTACTATAACTGATTTTGAGATTCATTCTTAAAGCAAGATTGAATTGTGTTATCTTATATTTTTGGTGATCAGTTTCAGCCAATTCTGATTCCATTCATCGCCAATTGATGATCAGCCCAAAAACCTTGATCCCTGATTTAACCTGAATCATCATCATTTCTTTGCATTCTCTTCTTTCTCCACACCATCAACGACTGAGCATTTCTCCCCATTTTTTTCCCTCGCCTAATTTAGGATGTGTGACAAATCGCAGTGGGCAGTAACAGGATCAATCAGGTCACATGCTAACCTGTTTGGTTTCTCATTTCCACAGAAGACAAACCTGTCATCCTGGTGTTCATGCACCACTGTCACAACCCCAGTCACATGACCAACACCACAGTGCAACCGACCAGGAGCAACATAGAGCAAGTCGTCCACTGTGCCTTCCATGAATGTACAGGGCTGCTGCGATGTCAGGAAAATGAGCAGGCGGTCGCTGATGTGCAAGCGATGCTGATGAAACACAAATGAAGAAATAGACATACTGTACCACAGGGAAGAATGGATTTACACTGCAAAATAATATATACAAATAATTTAAATAATTAATCAATTATCCACAGTTTGTATTTGTCCTTTATAATTGCATGGCAGATTGCTCACCCATCTGAAGTGCTGGCTTACTGATTAATAATCATTGGCAGCAGACATGGTAAAGAGATTTAAAGAACTAGTCTTGGGGACCAGTGGAGATCACTAGAGTGACACCATAGACTGTGGTATCTAATCTGAACTGCCTTACTGACCAGTACTGGTAGATAAAGGAAAATGCAAAAATGGAGCCTGTTGAAGTCGCCTTATAATAGTGTATCTGTTAAGCAAGTATGCACACTGTATGAGGCTGTGCTTATCCTGGTGTAGTGTTTAACTGTGCATGCAGAGCTGGGAGACACCCACCATGACTGTATGCAACTGGGAGACACCCACCATGGCTGCATGCAGAGCTGGGAGACACCCACCATGACTGCATGCAGAGCTGGGAGACACCCACCATGGCTGCATGCAGAGCTGGGAGACACCCACCATGGCTGTATGCAACTGGGAGACACCCACCATGACTGTATGCAACTGGGAGACACCCACCATGGCTGCATGCATCATACACACGCACACAAACACATAGAGCCATACACTTAATAATCATGTAGCAAGTGATTCATTTTGCAGTTCATTTATTACTGTCAAAATCAAATTATTTTAACCCTTGTGTGTTATGAAACAGGGAAAGTTAATAAAGGTATTTAAATATACACACACTCTGCGGGCCTGTTGATTTAAGTGACTCTATGTATGGAGCTCAAGCTTGATCCATCTCTTGAGTTTTGGAACAGCGTTACAGCAGTAGGAAAGCAGCTTGTTAGCTTATAACCATGGGTAACACATGGTGTACATCTGAAAACTAGAACTAACAATCAAACATAAAACTGTCCTGCTGTAGAACTTCTGACCATGTGAGAATGGATTGTGTGAACTTGGGAGAACAAAAATTACATTCCCTCACCCCCAATAAAAAACACTAAAGTTTAAAGTTTAGAGAATTAGAGACACTGAAAAGGAAATGGTAACACTTTGCATAAAGCTGTCATCTATAATGGATTATAGATACCTTCATAATAAAACATTATTCTATAGCGATAGTTCCCCCCCGAAACCAATCTGTGTCATCTGCCAAGCTATGCTAAGAAACGAGGCTATGAAACCATCGAAATTACACCGGCATTTGGAAAGAAAACATGCACATCTAAAAGATAAATCAGATGACTTCTTCAAAAGAAAACGAGATGAATTGGCCACCCAAACCATAGTGCTGTAAAGTAATTTAACAAACAATGAAAAACTTAAAAAGGCATCATACATTCTGTCCCATCACATAGCCAAATGTCAGGAGCCATTCATGTTTGGGGAGAAGCTAGTTTTGCCCTCCATTGTCAGTTCTTGCTCGGAGGTGTTGGGTCCGGCTGCTGCAGCAAAGGTAAAGGAGATCCTGCTGTCAAACGACACCGTCTGTCGCCGAATTGATGACATGGCAGTAGACATTGAAATGTAAATCATAGAGAGGGCAAAAGCATCTGACTGGTTTGCCATTCAATTAGATGGGAGCACTGACTTTTCAAACCTAGCCATGCTTCTGGTGTACATCAGATATGTTCATGAGGGCTGGTTTCATGAGGATTTCTTGTTTTGTAAGGAGCTGCCAGGGACCACAACCGCTGGAGAAATATTTAGTGTTCTGGATGGGTATATCACTGGGAATGGGTTGCTGTGGGGTCGTTGTGTTGGTGTCTGAACAGATGGGGCAGCGGCTATGACCAGTAGGCACAACGGAGTTGTATCTCACATGAAAGCGGTTTCTCCATCAGTCCAGGCAACGCACTGCATTATCCATCGAGACATGCTTGCCTCTAAACACTTGTCCATAGAACTGCATGAAGTTCTAAATCAAGTGGTCCGGATTGTGAACTTCATTAAAGCCAACCCGACAAATTCACATCTATTTACTGCTCTGTGTGAGGAGATGGGTGCAGATAATTTTCATCTGCTTTTGCACTCCTGGCTGTCATGGGGTAAAATGGTGAGCACAGTACGAGTTAAAACGTGAGATTGAGGTCTTATTGACAAATAAACAATCCAGTCTTGCCGATCACCTGCAAGATCAGTCCTGGATTATTAAGGTAGCCTATCTCTCTGACATCCTGAACCATTTCAACACGATGAACCTGTCAATCCAGGGCAGAGCGTGTGACATTTTTCAGGCCAACGAAAAAATCATGGCCTTCAGAAAGAAGCTCTCATTCGGGACCAACACAGTCAACAGAGGTGTCTTTGACATGTTCGGCTGTCTGTCATCTCTGGCTGATGAAGGTGTGGATCTGGGTGAGGTGCCCGCAGTGATCGTGCAACACCTTACAGAAACACTGCATCATTTCGATTCATACTTCCCTTGAAAATCCCATCTCATGGAAAAGCAATGGGTACGAGACCCATCCGCCAATCCATAAATGAGCGATCTGCCACCTGTGGTCCAGGAGAAACTTCTGGAGCTCTCGTGCGATGCTGGGTTACAGTCGAGATTCGGCCGGCTGACCCTGTCCGAGTTCTGGCTGTCATGCTATGAGGAATATCCCCAGCTGAGTGAGATGGCAGTTAAAACAATTTTGCCCTTCCACTCCACTATCTGTGCTTTTTCTCAACTGACAGCCACGAAAACAAAGGACAGAAACAGGCTGAACTCAGAAAACGCTCCGAGTGGCTGTCAGCGTGCCTTCCTCGTTTCGAACCAGTCAGTGGCGAGAAAGCAGACACACCCATCACATTAAAATGTTGATTTTAAATTTTTGGTGCCAAATAATCCCTGTGGGTGACTAGACCTGTAATTTAATTTATGTTAAAAGTCAATTTGCATGTTCAGCACCATTTGGCAGTGTTCAAAAGTGCAGTTAAAAAAAAACAACAAAAGAACATAATGGTCATTTATGCAGGACCTTGCAGCCCCAAAGCCTGACATGACTGGTCCCCAGGACAAATAAGTTTCAGAAAAGATGTCCTACAGTGTAATCACTAGGTCCATGGTGATGATGTTTGTGAGAAATTCACTTTTATATCTTTGAATGGAGGAGTTCAGTATGAAGTGTACAGAAAAGATAGAAATTCCATACTCAAATGAGTCTACACCTCTTACTACATCTACATCTAGAGCAGGGGTCTACAGGGCTGTGCAGAGGTAAGGTAGGATAAGGTAAGATAAGATAAGGTAAGATAAGGTAAGGTATGGTATGATATACTTTATTGTCCCCAAGGGGAAATTTATCTTCAGGCCACTGCGTTCCATGACATACAGTACAATGCATTCAACAGAGTCACAACCTACAATATACACAACATACCTTACACATTCATACATACATTGTCGTCAAACTGTATAAACCTATGTATAAACCTATATTCAAGATTCAAGATTCAAGATTCTTTATTTGTCACATGTAGTTATAGCTGGTACAACATACAGTGAAATGTGTTTCCCTGGCTGAACTCCGACTGTGCTAGACGTAGGATAAGTATATAAGTACTAAATAGATAAATAGATCCTCTAATAAAAAAACAATAAGTAAAATAATTTTCAAATAAATAAATAAATAAATAAGTTCTTATTTCTATTTAGCCTACAGTTTGGTATCCCGAACTGTCTGCCTGAGGATATCTATAAAAAGTAAACATGCATATGCCTTGATGTCCTCCAGATGTTTCAAGACTAAATGGGTGATGCTACTGATTGCATCATCTGGGCTTCTCCCTTATCGGTAGGCAAACTTCCAAATCATCTACTGTATTACCTCTGCTTTTAACAAAGATACCATGTATTTCTCAAAACATTTTATTACAATTGAAGTCAATGCTACAGGTCTTATAATCATTATTCTCCTTAGGGTACGATTTCTCTGGAACTGGAAATGTATCTGATGTCCAGATAACACAAAGCCAATGGCCATCCTCGGGTTACCTCGGGTATGCTGGGTGGGGGATCCCCTGGTGGGCTGCTGTCGATCATATTTCTCTGTCATATTAAATGAACGTAACGATGGACTAACCTGCGCCTGAGTAAAAGTTACTTTGTCTGACACGTGACTTGCGTACATTAAAGACCTTTCATCTACCGTTTGAATTTCACTTTCGGTTATACAGCGAAATATGGGCGATATGAAAAACATCTTATTTGAAGCATAAGGAAACATTGCGTCGAGAGAAAAGGCAAATAATAGTGAACATTCCGGTAAGCAGCGCCCGTCATAAATGACTTAGACCTGTTCAAAAACATTATTACGATGTTGCAAATTGAAAGTGCAGACATAAGAAATGACCGTAAAAACACATTGGCTTAATCCTTAAAAATCAACTATCGTTAAAAAAACTTAAATGCCAATAAATTGTAATAACATAACCATCCGTCCAGTAATAAATCATGTGATACCAGTGTACAATAAATAGTATATGATAAATTGTATGAAAAGACGACTTAATCTACATTCTCCCAAACTAGCTGTATAGACATCCTTTGAAACTGGGTAATAATATCACAGAAAACATGCAACCATCTAGAATATGTTCCAAAACTAATTTATTTTGTCACGACAATTTTAAGAACTTATAAAAACATATGACCCTGCGTTCACTTTCGGTTTAACTGGTGATTACGCAGATCCCGTTTATACATCAAGTTCTTTTCTGCAGAAACTGCGCACATAATTGGTAAGTCTGTCGCGGTACATGTTGTCTGTTTGTACGGGCATATCATAACCATCCGTCCAACTATAGCCGTCCATTTTCAATGCCCGCTTGTGCTTTGCATATGTAACATTATAAACAGACTGGATTTACGAACACGCAGACAAATACAACATACTATGATATTATCATCAAAGTCATAGCATTGTTACAGTAGTACCACTATGGTAAAACCATTGTTATTTGGCTACGTATAAACCATAATATCACCTGTAGCCTACTACATATTACAATGTTTCTTGAGTTAAAATACAATGGTAATCCGTTAAGTTTTTTGTACTGTACCCTGGTAATAACACGTTTTTAAATTTGCTACATTATGGTAATATATACTTGTTTCAAAGGTATTTTACGTGATGTTCATCATAGTATTGTAATGATACAGCAGTGAAAATAGGCATCATAATTACATTAAATGTACCATGAATGAAATGTATCTGTTTTGGCTCAATGAAGAAAACACTTTAATAACTTAATAGTTTAATAGTCACCTGCATCAAACCAATTAACCACTTACCAATGTTTTTCAAAAACTGAAAGAAACTTGCTTTTATTATTAAAATACATGTTCAAAAACTAGAAATAAAATTGTTCACATTATAAATTGTTTTTATCTGATATGGCAAAAATAAAATGCAACAAAATAATTGCTGATTTCTGCAAGTTTCATAGGTGAAATTCCCAGATGTCATCACCAAATCCAGTACAGCTGAAATGATAGCAGTCCAGTGCTTACAATGCAGTTACTTTTTTGTAAGGGAACTATATTATATGTGCTTCTTGCCAATTCCATGAGTACTAAATACCATAGTACCAATACAGGTTGGAAATAAAAACCATCTGACATTGCACAATACTATAGTATCAGAACAAAAGTACAGTATCATACTATAAAATGAAATACTGTTCAAATAACATGAATGTATATCTTATGTATATCATCATACCATAAATGTAACATGGGCAAAATAGAATATTGAAAGTACAATCCAGTACAATCGTACTGACAAGATAATACAATGATAACCATTTTTCTTGCTACTGTGTCCTTGCTGTGTTGTTTAAAACTACACCCATTTGGTAAAAGTTCTGTTGTGAATACATCCATCCATCCATCCATCCATTTTTCAACCCGCTTATCCTACTGGGTCGCGGGGGGTCCGGAGCCTATCCCGGAAGCAATGGGCACGAGGCAGGGAACAACCCTGGACAGGGGGCCAGCCCAACGCAGGGCACACTCACACACCATTCGTTGTGAATACAAAGAAAGGTATTTCAATAAGAGTCTGCTGAGGGATGTATATTTCTTTCAGTTTGCAACCAAAATATGCATGTCAGAGTCCCCTGTAACGGGCTGGCATCCAGTTCATTGAGATTCCTGCTTTGCCCTCATTCTTCCTGGGGTATCTCTTGTTGAAGACATCATAGTAGATGGCTGTTGGATGAAATATGTGACGACAATGCAATTCTTATCAAAGTGAACTGCTATTAGGTCAGAGCTACAGACATGTCTTGAAGTGCAGACAATGTTTTTTCAGTGGTATCTCCTTATAATCCCAATATTTTCACAGTAATGAAGATCTTAATGATCTTTTGACAGGTGTATTTAATTATCAAGTTCAAAGATTGGTCTCATCATTTTGTTTTTAAAAGTAAAATACATTTAAGTTCACCTGAATACCTACACCTGAGCAGCTCTAGGTGGCAGCAGAGAGTAGAAAGGGAGCAGCAGCCATCTTGTGAACACAATGTTCTGAAATCTGCAAGTATCTTTTTCAAACTTCCCAGGATTATTGTACAGGACAGTGGTTCTCAAACTGTGGGGCACAAGATGATTTTTTGAATATTCCACAATAAAGTTGATATTGTTTGTTCATCATCAGCCCCCCTGCTTGGCAAATTTTATCAGTAGCCAGTCGGTGAAATGCATCATGGGGAATTCTGCAAAATTTATTGTAGGGGAACGTAATTAAAGTTGGGTGTCAGAGAGCAGGGACTGAGTGATGATCCATGCGGAGGCTTATAGACCAAAGGGCTTTATTTAGAAATGAAACACAAACTACACACAAAACCAAAAGGACCACTGGGACAAAACCAAAGGCAGGTACGGCAGGAAGGATACCAGGCTAGGAATAACACTTAGGGAAACACTGGGCTATGTACAACATTAACTGGGGTCTAAAACACAGATAACACTAACAAACTATAAGCATGTACATAACACTAACAATGGCTGACTGAGAACCAAGGCAAGGGTAGGTACTTATATACATGGATGATGAGGCTGAATAAGTTAGAGGGGCAAGTAATGAACCACTTAACGAGCAGATTAGGGCTGAGAATATGGAGGAAGACAGGATGACCAGCGACATGTGCAGGCCGAAAGGGAACATGATGGACACGGTAGGGACAGATCACCACATTGGCTTAATATGACTTTTTTTGATAGGTGGGGAAAGTGTGTAGGGTAGGCTTGGGCAGTACTACAGTAATATTTTCATTTCACTGTGGTATTTCTGTTTGGCAAAATTTATCATGCCGGAATTTAATTATATCACTCAGTCCTAGTCAGAGGTGGCACAGGAAAGAACAGGTGCAGATCCGGTGAACCTTATTACATTAAGACAAGGCACAGAAAGCCGAGCTTTTAAGTTAGTAAAGATGTTTTGGAGAGGTGGGGAGAGTATATAGGTTAGGGTTAGGCAGTTTTACGGTAATACTTTAATTCTACTGTGGAATTTTCATTCTGGGGGGTGAACCCCCCATGGACAGTAGGATGACATGCAGAATGAGATACCCCAAAGGCTACTGTAGGGGGGCTGTATAAAAGTAGGGCAAAACTGACATGAAACCTTCAACACAGAGAAGTTACTCACTCACTTACTGTGGCATCTTTCTCTCTTGTGATTATCTTGCTCCTGAGGTCCCACAGTTCAAGGTCCTTTGCACCCAGTCAGACATGGAGCAGCAGTTCATGGTTACCCAGGATGTCAATATGCCAAACATCACCAATGACAGCGAGCTTAACAGGGAGGGCACTGGGCCAGCTGGTGAGGAGAGTGAATCTCATCAAGAAATGACTGAACCAGCAATGGAACTTTTCCCAGGCTCATCTGGAGGTAAAGGGCGTCTTGGGGCTTGAGTGAACTCTACATGGATACAGACAGTGATCTCTATAGCCAGTGGACAGTCGTCCATGAGCACAATGTATATGAAGATGCATTTTCCAAGTAACAGGATCATAACTACTGATTGTCAAAATACATATTAGCTGTAGAAGGTGACACTGTAGTATGGAGGAAATGCAGAATTTTATTTTTGTAATGTAAAAAGAATTCAACAGGGGTAAAAATCTCAGTTCTGCAAAGAAGCTGGTGTGTGGCCACTGTGTAACAGTTATATTTGGAACAGCTGAAATTTAATTCATGAAATGAAGCAGAAGTTTCTTCAGCAAGAATTATGTGTACCACAGGACAGAATCACACACAAAACAAATAAACCCTGTAACACCGTCAGATTATTATGCATGTTCTTACCCTGGTTTCATCCTCTCGTGTGAAGATCTTCCTCTTAAGATCCAGCAGATCCTTTGCAGTGAGCTGGATATGGAGCAGGAACCAATGGCTACCCAGAATGCCAGTATGCCAAATTTTGCCAGTGACAGTGAGCATTTCAAGGAGGGCAATGAGTCAGCTGGTGAGGAGAGCGAAGCTGATGGGTTTGTGCTTGTACCACGAATGGGACATTCCACTGGCCCCACTGAAGGTAAAGGGTGTTTTGGGGCCTCTACATGCATACAGACACTGGACACTCCAGCCAGTGGACAGGTGGCTATGAGCACAATGTGTACAAAGATAGATATTACAAGTAACACTAGCATAACCATCTCTACAGCAATAGCCATAAATTTTGAGATTTGACACGTATTAATTTTCACCGAGTCTCCTGCCTCAGTTTTTATAATGGCATATACTCCAGATGTTATGAAGAGTGGTCAGATGAATTGCAATTAATTGCAAAGTCCTTCTTTGCCATGAAAATGAACTTAATACCAAAAAACCCATTTCCACTGCATTTCAGCCCTGTCACAAAAGGACCTGCTGACATCATTTCAGTGATTCTCTTGTTAACTCACGTGAGAGTGTTGATGATGACAAGGCTGGAGATCACCCTGTTTTACTGAATGAGTTAGAATAGCAGACTGGATGCTTTAAAAGAAAGGTGGTGCTTGAAATCATTGTTCTTCCTCTGCTAACCATGGTTACCTGCAAGGAAACACATGCAGTCATCATTGCTTTGCACAAAAAGGGCTTCACAGGCAAGGATATTGCTGCTAGTAAGATTGCACCTAAAATAAGCGCCAGGACGTATCATAAAGTTGATTCAGCTGTGTGATCGGGGCACCACCAGTGCAGATCTTGCTCAGGAAGGCAGGTGTGAGTGCATCTGCACGCACAGTGAGGTGAACACTTTTGGAGGATGGCCTGGTGTCAAGAAGGGCAGCAAAGAAGCCACTTCCCTCCAAGAAAAACATCAGGGACGGACTGATATTCTGCAAAAGGTACAGGGATTGGACTGCAGAGGACTGGGGTAAAGTCATTTTCTCTGATGAATCCCCTTTCCGATTGTTTGGGGCATCCCGAAAAAAGATTGTCCGGAGAAGAAAAGGTGAGCGCTACCATCAGTCCTGTGTCATGCCAACAGTAAAGCATCCTGAGACCATTAATGTGTGGGGTTGATTCTCAGCCAAGGGTGTGGGCTCACTCACAATTTTGCCTAAGAACACAGCCATGAATAAAGAATGGTACCAAAACATCCTCCATGAGCAACTTCTCCCAACCATCTAAGAACAGTTTGGTGACAAATAATGCCTTTTCCAGCATGATGGGGCATCGTGCCATAAGGCAAAAGTGATAACTAAGTGACTCAGGGAACAAAATATCAACATTTTGGGTCCATGGCCAGGAAATTCCCCAGACCTTAATCCCATTGAGAATTTATGGTCAATCCTGAAGAGGCCGGTGGACAAACAAAAACCCACAAACTCTGACAAACTCCAAGCATTGATTATACAAGAATCGGCTGCCTTCAGTCCGGATTTAGCCCAGTAGTTGATCGTCAGCATGCCAGGGCGAACAGGTCTTGAAAAAGTAGGGCTAACACTGCAAATATTGACTCTTTGCATAAACTTAATGTAACTGTCATAAATTGTGTCAATTGTGTCATTCTCAAAACTTTTGGCCACGGCTGTATATCCTGTTGTGACCACTTTGATCTCCATTGCTATTGCAATTGATTCGAGATGGCAAATATTTTACAGGAACTACATTGTTTTCTGTGATTCAAATACTTTCCCTCTTCGTGTCAAAGTGGAATTACATCAACTCAAGTGAGCTTTTGTCTACAGTATTCTCAAAGATATACTCAAACCCTTCAGGTAAGCTGTCCAGTGATTCTAAGGTTTGCTATCTACCTCCAAAATCATTCACTTTCAAACTCAGCAAAAAGTATAATTTTCCTGCCTTTTCTAACTAAAACCTTACACATTTAACCATCATATTAAAATCCTCAATAAAATTATTACTAAATTCAAATTCCTCCACCATATATAGTCTGAGATGGAGAGCATTCTACCACTTCCGTGCATGAATACCTGGTAAAGACATCTATATGTAGAAAGTTTTCATGTACTCTTCCTTTTCACGAGAATTGTAACTCGTTTTTAATTTCCATTCCTCTTCCACAGTGAAAGCCCATACAGTGATTGCCGGAGAAACCTTCAATACTCATGAGACCTTCATTCAAAAGCTGAAGCTGCAGATAGAGCTCTGCAGTGCAGAGAGCAGCAGTGTCATCCTGGTCTTCTGTCCTGTTGTTTCTCGGATTGGGACAGACATGGAGGTATCGATGACCAGAGTTCCAGGTGAGCCAGGATTCAGTCTCTGCTGTATGTCACCTTTGCCCTGAAATCCAAAGAAGACACAACAAACAGATATATTGTAGTCTAACTTTTCACAGGGGAAATCATGAGTTATTTAATAAAAGCTGCCTATCAGAAGTTATCCTGTAAAACATACACAGATCAACACACCATCCATATCTGCCACGTCGTCCAAATTTTTTCCAATGTATCTGACAATCTCTCTGTTACAGCCATAGATGATAATTTAATTTTATACGTCATGTATTCAGAGGTGGAAAGTTCAGCTTCAGAAAGTACAAATCCAGACCAAGATATTGTTTCAACCAACCAGTTGCATATAAAGAGTACAGTCACAGAGTACTCAGCTGGTTGGTTAAAACAAAATCTTCGTCTGAATTTATGCTTTCTGGACCTGAACTTTCTATCTCTGCATTTATTATGCATTATTCATTAATTTCATATATATCCTATTTTTGTATGTTTATTATTGAATATTTAATTGAAGTTATAATGGTTAATGGTATTTGTTTCTGTTAGCAAAGACCCCTGTGTTGATAGTTTTGGTATGACCCCTTTTATTTGTAAAAACCCATAGTCACACGTAGCTTTGGTTGGAAGAAGTAAGGTGGATGGAAGGAAGGATTTTAGAAGTGTGGAGCAAAGCACTTTTTTGACCATCTTAGTGGAGATTGTGAACCCTTTTTTATTTTAAGGTGATTTTGTAACGTGTATTTTACTTACATTTGTAGATTTTTGTTGCATTTTACCGCTTTGCATGCGTCCATTACGAATGCTTAACGGAATGGCGCAGATATGGGATATGTTGCCATAACATTCTCTCTCTTTTCCATCCATCCTTCCATGGTCACTTGTCCAGTACAGGTTTGTGGTCAGCCTACAGCCTATCCTAGGAAGCAAACCTTATAGCCTTTCTTTTTCCTTACCTTATTTTACATGCTGGGGAAAAACCTGTTAGGGGAAGCAGTAAAATTCATAGCTACCCATGCTAACCTGTTTGGTTTCTCCCTTCCTCAGATAATAAACCTGTCATCCTGGTGTTCATGCACCACTGTCACAGCCCCAGTCACATGACCAACATCACAGTGCAACCATGCAGAAGCAACATAGTGCAAATCGTCCAATGCGCCTTCCATGAATCTAAAGGGCTGCTGCAATGTCAGGAAAATGAACAGGCGGTCGCAAAGGTGCAGCCAACACTGCTGAGGTACGACTGAAATAACAGATGCTCTGCAGGAGAAGCGAGTATTAACACAAACACTGTGAACATAAGAATATAAGATATTTACAAACGAGAGGAGGCCATTCGGCCCATCTAGCTCATTTGGGGAGAACTTAACTAATAGCTCAGAGTGGTTAAAATCTTATCTAGCTCTGATTTAAAGGAACCCATGGTTTTAGCTTGCACTAGACTAGCAGGAAGACTATTCCATACTCCAACTACACGCTGTGTAAAGAAGTGCTTCCTCAAATTAATTTTAAAATGTTCTTCTGTTAATTTCAAATTGCACACACTCAGGATTTTAATCAGTTTATTGAATTATTCATAGACTTTTTAAGCAAACCATGTGATTTTTCTGCTGTTTAACTGTGTATGCATAATAATGATATATGCAAGTATATAAGAAGTACATATTAAAGGTACTCAAGATATAAAGCATTACTAATAAATAAGTAAATTACTAATTTACAGGTCACAAACTATCAGGTGAATGTCATATCTTAATTGTGTTGTACACGAATGAAAAATATATCATAATTTCATTGTTTTTGTATGTACTGTACATATACATAAATTATACATTCTACATACAGTACACACACAAATATATGTATGTGTTAATATTAAAGGTCAACAGTAACTTTCAGGAGATTATGTAACAGTATTTCATTACACACACATGTAATTCATTACATACACTCTGCAGGTATGTTGATTTACATGCTGAGGTCCCACAGTCCAGCACTGAACCAGTGGGAGAGAGGAGTAAATCCCATCAATGCAAGGATGTAAGAAAAAAGGAAGATTCTAGTGGCTCCTCTGGAGGTAAAGGGTGTCTTGGGCCCTGATTGATCATTGTATTCATATTGTGTTACATATTACACACTTTCAAGGAAAAGACTCATAATCTCTGATCCAAACATATTATTAGTTTCAAGTTTATAGTCTTAAGAAGACAGAACAGTTTTAATAAAATCTGATTTTAGAAGTAGAGTAACCACTAGGGGTCACTTATCTGTAGATGAATTGGCATTCCCTATATATATATATATATATATATATATATTTGATCACTGTAACTGCTTAATCCCAACTGGGGTCACAGGAGCCTATCCTGGGAACAATGGGTACAAGAGGGAACTGACCCTAGGCAGTCGACAACACACCACAGGGCCAATTTAGACTTACCAATCAACCGATCCTGCATGCTTTTGGACTGTGGGAGGAAACTGGAGCCCCTGATGGAAACCCACATGAACACAGGGAGAGTGTATGCACTCCACACAGAAAGGTCCCAGGACCAAATCCAGGACCTTCTTGCTGTGAGGCAGCAGTGCTAACCACTGTGCCACTGTGCCGCCCTCTCTATATATATACAGTGGTACCTCGGTTCTCAAACTTAATCCGTTCCGGACTCCGGATCGAATCCTAAAAAGTTCGAGTTCTGATCGAATTTTTCCCATAAGAAATAATGGAAAACCAATTAATTGGTTCCCGGCCCCCCAAAAGTACACCTAAATATGTTTTTTTTTTTTTATTTTTTTTTTAGCATTTAAACACAAAATGAACAGGATAAAACAAGAAGAGCATTTCTTTCTTAATGGCTTCCAAAACGATAAAGATCTTATCCCAACATTACCCCTGTCCTGCCCCGAT